CTTTATTGACGCAGAGCGGAAACTAGGCCTTTCCGCCTGCTGAACATAAAGATAGACTGGAGACTAGGCCTCGCCAGCTATCCAACCCGAGGCTATAATGTACGTATAATTAATTAATTAATTGTACAATAAATTAATATGTATAAATTTATAAAGTATGTATTTGAAAATAAGTAAAAATTAGTAAAGAAAATAAGAAAAATGTTAATGTATAGTATTAGTAGAAGAGCAATCAATTAAATTAATTAAATTAAATAAGTTTATAATGTAATTGACAAGATTTTTTATAGGTCTTAAAGACTGTCAATAAATAAATAAATAAATAAATAAAAAAAACAAGTATTGGAAAGTGTTTTTACTGTATTAGCAAGTATTGTAAATTGTTTGTTGTACAATAAAGTTAATTGTACTACAATTCGGTCATCGTTAGCATTTATTTAACAAATCAGCGATACGAGCCCGAGTATATTTGGGTAATCCCTCAAGGTTTCGAGGATTATCGTAAGTGCTCATTCACACACGGCGATTTTTGTTGCCGCAACTCGACGTTTGTAGGAGAGAGCGTGACGAGGAAAGGAGGGGCACCGAGTTGCTCGTGCTCGGGCAACACGCTTTGTGCTCTTGCTGTGCTCTCGTTCGTCTGTGTAGATTGAACCGCTGTTCACAGCTGACAAGAATCGCATACACACAAATCGCCGTGTGTAAATGAAACGAGCAACACCAAAAGGGAATGTGAAAAATCGCGTCGACAAAAGTTTCCGTGTATAAACGCAGTCTTACAGTATCTATATCTTCCAACCATGTCTTTAATTTTACTCCAAAGGTATAGCCCATTTCGTACCCTAGTATTTCTGATTGCCTCCGATTTAGAGGTATCAATTAGCACAAATATTTCACCTTTATGGTCAGTTGGGTAAAAAATAGTTTCCTTGTTTGCGTTTTGACGTCTTTCTTCGCGCCCTTTGTGCATGTCATTTTCTAGACGTACATTTTGTTTCCCGCCATTGGTGTTTTTCTCGTCTGTATAGTCTTCTTTCATTTGTGCGTTTTGCACAGTTTTGTCATGTATGTCGTCCTGTATTTCATGTATGTTATATACATGAGCGTCATCTTTTTGTCTAGCGTTTTGTATTTTACCGTTGGCAGAACTACCATTTCCCGCTATACCACTTATACCACCAAAACTATTACGCACATGGTCATAGTTTTCGTCCATGTATGCCCAGCCAAGCATTTCAGCGTCACCTGCCACCTGGCCACTACTTTTAGTCACATTCGAATTGCTTAAAAAATCATCCAATTGCATTAAATTTTGATTTAAGAGGCTGATCTTCATCGCCATTTCCTTTTCTTTTCTTTTTTCTAGCTCTCGACCCTAACCTAGAGGTTTTCTCCCGGTCAGAATCCGACATGGTAGCAGATGACGCTGCCACACCATGCCACGCAATCGTTCTCAGGTTTCCCCGACTTAATCAAAAAACTCAAAACTCCACAGAAAATTAAGTGAAAAATATGATATGTATTTACCTGTTAAATTACCACACACTCAGGAACAGTACAAAGTATTTATTAACAAGCACAACTCACCAGTATAGAAAAAACACTACCTTTCCACTCGGACGTTGAATAAGAAGTGACAACGAAATTTAACAAAAGTTTTTTGTTCATAACTTTTAAATGGTTAATAATATTAGCCCCTCCCCCCCTCCGGATTGTTATTAAGGGGACCGAAACGCGTCGTTTGGTACCCCTCCCGACTTTTCCGCACCTTTTTTAGGGGTTGTTACCCCACCCTAGAGAATTACCCAAAAAAATTAGCGGAAAAATATTAGAGTAAAATTGCCAATAATTTTTTCGGGCAGTGTATGTACACACATAGAAAAAAAGCAAGGCGGGCATACCAAATTGGTACATATTACCAATGGAGAAATGCTAAAGTCTTAATATAAAATCAGAGATTGCCAGAAGAATATAAACCTAGGAATCAACAGAACAAGTACATACTAATGGGTGAGAATGTGGATCGCGAAAGTGAGCCAATTCATGAAGGATTGCTGCAAGAGAGTAAAGAAATCGAGTTTGCAGAGGAAACAATACTTAAATTAGAGGTAGAAATTTTGACGCCTTTTTCTGAGGTAAAATATATTTATAAATACATACTATAGTATATACATACATATGTATGTATGTATGTTGATATCGCACACCTAGATCTAAAGTGCAATCAACTCAATAAAAAAATTGTGATTTTTTTGCATAAATCAATTCATAGGACTTACCCTCTAGTAGGCTGAACCGCCTCCAGACGGTCGTTAACTTTTTAGTGCACCTATAATAATTTTTTTCTATATTCGTAAGGCACGATCTTTAGACAAAAATCGTACCTTTACGGCGGTGTAAATTTGAATCCGTTATGTCAATCCGTTTTATTTTAATCGGCAGTTGAATTACAGATTTTGAAAACACGGTTAAAATTAATTATTTCTTGCTATTTAGTAATTTTGTAATTAAAGAAATTTTTTCATTTGAAAAATTTTTTGATATAAAATAGTGCGGTGGATTTCGTTGTTAAAAGCACCGTATTTTAATATAAGTTTTATAATCATGTCACCATTGGAAATGGAGAAAATTGCTTTCGAACACAGACCGTCTACAGACCGGCTTGCCGACATATAAAAATCCAGTTTGCATTTCTGACCGTCTGCAGACGGGATTGCCGGTTCGTAGGTCAACATTGTGTAAGAGAAAGCTGAAAATATGTGTAAGTATATCGGCGAGCCCGTCTCCAGACGGAAAAAGTTACTGTCACAGATCGAAATGGACATCATTTTTGGATTTCTCGTGCTAAATAAATTCACCCATTCCTGAATTTTTCAACTCATAAAAAAATTGGCCTACTAGAGGGTTAATGGAAACTGTTTTTCTTCACGATTATATACGTTAACTAAAATACTTCTGCTATACATGTTTTTGTATTAATTGCGTTGATTATGTACGATCCACAAGCACTTAACATTCCCTCTCTGAATTTTGAGTTAGCTCACTTTAGATCTAGGTGTGCGATATGTACGTACATATGGATCTATGAACTAGCTCAATTATTTACGAAATAAAACCACGATGAATAATATTCTACCTGATTATCAATTTCATTAAAGGAAGATAATGGAACAGATAATATACTGAATGAGTTTGAAATAAATAAAACGTTGTATAATGCGAAAAAGAAAGATTGTCAAATGGTAAGCAATGCAAATACAGCAATGTTAGACGTACGGTATGTATAGCATTAAGAAAAACTTACTGTTTCAGGTGGAAACGACAAATTCTGTCACGCGGAGATTTTTTCAGTTACGTAGTACTGATCCGTTCATTATATTGGGATTTATTGATATTGTTCGCCGACATCCTTGCCATTGGAATTCGCTGGACTACGACTTTGGACACAAAGACAAAAGGGATGAAAGCTCGAAGATCATTTGTAGAGAACTGAGGGACCTGTATAACATATGCATATCTCCACAATTAGCCCGATCAAGCATACTTTCTCTGATTCGGTGGTTTGAACGTGAATATCTCCGTTCGGTGCAGCTGAGTAAGACAAATACTTCTAAAAGAGGTCGTTGGAGCCGTAATGGATATGTATGTGCGCATCCCGAATATTTTAACAAATTACTGGAATTTGTTCCAAACAATCATTTACAACTTCTCTGCTGTGATAAATGTCAGCGGATGTTCAAGACGCAAACTCAATTTTTGATACATTATCACCATGCTCATGGAGGCGATGCACCATTCAAGTGCCATCATTGTAGTCGTTCATTTTTGTATTCTTCTACTTGGAAACGTCACGAAAATAGGCATACTATGAGATATATATGGAGTTGTCTATTATGCCGGCACATTAGCTCTACAAAAACAGATTATAACTTACATATGGTGGCACATACCGACGTTCGTGCATACGTTTGTGATCTGTGCGGAGCGTCTTATAAGAGTAGCACAAGTTTAAATGTTCATTTGCGAACGCATGAGCCACCAAGATTACAATGTAATATATGTTTTAAGAAATTTTACGAAAATTATCGCCTTAAACGACATTTGTTGATTCATGAAGCTGAAGCTTCCGTAAAAGCGAATATGAAGGGTTAGCCTAAATTTCTTCTAAAACCTATTGTTTTATGGTCAGAAGCAAAAATCTCGAGACAAATTTTACCAAAACGTTTTTAATGAGCCTTGATGAATATATCTATAGGGCAAGGTGTGGCGCCTACCAGTTTCACTAACACTAGCAAGTATACACCGCGAATGGAACATTATACTAAAGCCGGACATGGGAGATTATTGCTTTTGAGAATAAAATATTAGTCAAATATGTAGATAGAAGATCATTTCGTCGCTGGAATAAAGAAACAGTGTAAATGCCATATACACTATTATTCGATAATCGTACCATTAATCTATTAGAAAAATCTTTAGCTTTTTTAAATATCTTTTTGGATCACGAACTTATTCGTGAAAAACGTTATTTTATAATAACAGTGTAGGTACTACAATTGTTTACAAATAGTGTATAGGGCACTTGGACTATTGTTAAGAAGATCCCCAAGAAATTCTTATATTATTGAAATAACGTTACAGTAGTTTACTTCATTATATCGAGCCCTAGCCGCCAAAATAAAGTAAGCGACATTGTTTTCAAAATTTTATTTTTGATGCAGAAACGTATCTAGATACTCTAAATTTACTCTAAATTTCTTCTAAAACCTATTGTTTTATGGTCAGAAGCAAAAATCTCGAGACAAATTTTACCAAAACGTTTTTAATGAGCCTTGATGAATATATCTATAGGGCAAGGTGTGGCGCCTACCAGTTTCACTAACACTAGCAAGTATACACCGCGAATGGAACATTATACTAAAGCCGGACATGGGAGATTATTGCTTTTGAGAATAAAATATTAGTCAAATATGTAGATAGAAGATCATTTCGTCGCTGGAATAAAGAAACAGTGTAAATGCCATATACACTATTATTCGATAATCGTACCATTAATCTATTAGAAAAATCTTTAGCTTTTTTAAATATCTTTTTGGATCACGAACTTATTCGTGAAAAACGTTATTTTATAATAACAGTGTAGGTACTACAATTGTTTACAAATAGTGTATAGGGCACTTGGACTATTGTTAAGAAGATCCCCAAGAAATTCTTATATTATTGAAATAACGTTACAGTAGTTTACTTCATTATATCGAGCCCTAGCCGCCAAAATAAAGTAAGCGACATTGTTTTCAAAATTTTATTTTTGATGCAGAAACGTATCTAGATACTCTAAATTTACTCTAAATTTCTTCTAAAACCTATTGTTTTATGGTCAGAAGCAAAAATCTCGAGACAAATTTTACCAAAACGTTTTTAATGAGCCTTGATGAATATATCTATAGGGCAAGGTGTGGCGCCTACCAGTTTCACTAACACTAGCAAGTATACACCGCGAATGGAACATTATACTAAAGCCGGACATGGGAGATTATTGCTTTTGAGAATAAAATATTAGTCAAATATGTAGATAGAAGATCATTTCGTCGCTGGAATAAAGAAACAGTGTAAATGCCATATACACTATTATTCGATAATCGTACCATTAATCTATTAGAAAAATCTTTAGCTTTTTTAAATATCTTTTTGGATCACGAACTTATTCGTGAAAAACGTTATTTTATAATAACAGTGTAGGTACTACAATTGTTTACAAATAGTGTATAGGGCACTTGGACTATTGTTAAGAAGATCCCCAAGAAATTCTTATATTATTGAAATAACGTTACAGTAGTTTACTTCATTATATCGAGCCCTAGCCGCCAAAATAAAGTAAGCGACATTGTTTTCAAAATTTTATTTTTGATGCAGAAACGTATCTAGATACTCTAAATTTACTCTAAATTTCTTCTAAAACCTATTGTTTTATGGTCAGAAGCAAAAATCTCGAGACAAATTTTACCAAAACGTTTTTAATGAGCCTTGATGAATATATCTATAGGGCAAGGTGTGGCGCCTACCAGTTTCACTAACACTAGCAAGTATACACCGCGAATGGAACATTATACTAAAGCCGGACATGGGAGATTATTGCTTTTGAGAATAAAATATTAGTCAAATATGTAGATAGAAGATCATTTCGTCGCTGGAATAAAGAAACAGTGTAAATGCCATATACACTATTATTCGATAATCGTACCATTAATCTATTAGAAAAATCTTTAGCTTTTTTAAATATCTTTTTGGATCACGAACTTATTCGTGAAAAACGTTATTTTATAATAACAGTGTAGGTACTACAATTGTTTACAAATAGTGTATAGGGCACTTGGACTATTGTTAAGAAGATCCCCAAGAAATTCTTATATTATTGAAATAACGTTACAGTAGTTTACTTCATTATATCGAGCCCTAGCCGCCAAAATAAAGTAAGCGACATTGTTTTCAAAATTTTATTTTTGATGCAGAAACGTATCTAGATACTCTAAATTTACTCTAAATTTCTTCTAAAACCTATTGTTTTATGGTCAGAAGCAAAAATCTCGAGACAAATTTTACCAAAACGTTTTTAATGAGCCTTGATGAATATATCTATAGGGCAAGGTGTGGCGCCTACCAGTTTCACTAACACTAGCAAGTATACACCGCGAATGGAACATTATACTAAAGCCGGACATGGGAGATTATTGCTTTTGAGAATAAAATATTAGTCAAATATNTGTAATGCAATATATTCACCAAGGCGAAATTATACAGGGTGGTGTTGGCAGAACAAAAACAAAATTACAATAACAAATTATACGCACATTGACAATAGTTGCGTTCCCCAACTTTTCTGGTTAAAACCCATGAACCAAAAATACAAGATCACGCCTTCTTAGTAGCCCGTTATAATCGCATTTAGTAAAAAAGTTGAGCGACTTTGGCATTAGCCGTTTGTTTACATTTGATCGTTGTTAACAATTTGGTGGTGGCTCTTTACTGCAATTTTCTTAATTTTCGCTTGTGACAACGTGTGTACACATAAGGTAAAGAATAATTTAACACAAAGACATGATTTATAAAAGACTTTGCATAATAACAATTACGCGGTTTTTTTTTGNTAAAAAAGTTGAGCGACTTTGGCATTAGCCGTTTGTTTACATTTGATCGTTGTTAACAATTTGGTGGTGGCTCTTTACTGCAATTTTCTTAATTTTCGCTTGTGACAACGTGTGTACACATAAGGTAAAGAATAATTTAACACAAAGACATGATTTATAAAAGACTTTGCATAATAACAATTACGCGGTTTTTTTTTGTTCTCCTCGTTGTTTACTTCTTACAACAAAGATGGCGTCGAGATTTCAACACCTAGAAAATAGTTGCGTTTTTTTACTCATTTCCAGTAAAATCCAGTAAAAGTTTTTACGAATTTTCATGTTCTGGCGTTTTCGTACGCAAAACCTTGCAAAGTAGGGGAAATTGAGAGAGCGAAAAATGACAGCTGAAGTTGCAAGTTTTTACTGGATTTTACTGGATAAATTTTTACTTGTAAGAATTTGCCAGTACGAAAAACAGCTGATCGCATGTTGCTGGATGAAATTTAAACTAATAAGGAAACTGTTTGAAAGCTAGCTTTTTATTGCGGAAATTCACAAAATAAACGTATTCAAATATAAAATATATTGTTTTATTAGGAATATGCTGCGAATAAACAACCAATTAATCAGCTGTTCATGAAACTTGCAAATTATTACTGGAAAAGCGTTCACGTACTTTTTTGTAAATTTTTTCTATGAGAGCGAATTCTTAGAAATTAAGTTACTGGAGAGTTGCTGGCAAGTTACTGGATAATTTGTAAAAAAACACAACTAATAACTTTTTTCTTTCTTTCGGGAAGGCGTGATCTTGTGTCTTTCGTTCATGGTTAAAACCTGTAAAACTGTCAAAAGGCANTTGTCATACGGCAACAAAACCGATTCGAAAATTGTCGATAACTGGTTACAGAGTCTGCCTACAAAAATGATATCGTCCGATTCAGCTGGAACAAAAATGCTTCAAACAAGTAAGAGTTTCTCTGTATTATGGCCTNTAGTTGCGTTCCCCAACTTTTCTGGTTAAAACCCATGAACCAAAAATACAAGATCACGCCTTCTTAGTAGCCCGTTATAATCGCATTTAGTAAAAAAGTTGAGCGACTTTGGCATTAGCCGTTTGTTTACATTTGATCGTTGTTAACAATTTGGTGGTGGCTCTTTACTGCAATTTTCTTAATTTTCGCTTGTGACAACGTGTGTACACATAAGGTAAAGAATAATTTAACACAAAGACATGATTTATAAAAGACTTTGCATAATAACAATTACGCGGTTTTTTTTTGTTCTCCTCGTTGTTTACTTCTTACAACAAAGATGGCGTCGAGATTTCAACACCTAGAAAATAGTTGCGTTTTTTTACTCATTTCCAGTAAAATCCAGTAAAAGTTTTTACGAATTTTCATGTTCTGGCGTTTTCGTACGCAAAACCTTGCAAAGTAGGGGAAATTGAGAGAGCGAAAAATGACAGCTGAAGTTGCAAGTTTTTACTGGATTTTACTGGATAAATTTTTACTTGTAAGAATTTGCCAGTACGAAAAACAGCTGATCGCATGTTGCTGGATGAAATTTAAACTAATAAGGAAACTGTTAAAAAGCTAGCTTTTTATTGCGGAAATTCACAAAATAAACGTATTCAAATATAAAATATATTGTTTTATTAGGAATATGCTGCGAATAAACAACCAATTAATCAGCTGTTCATGAAACTTGCAAATTATTACTGGAAAAGCGTTCACGTACTTTTTTGTAAAATTTTTCTATGAGAGCGAATTCTTAGAAATTAAGTTACTGGAGAGTTGCTGGCAAGTTACTGGATAATTTGTAAAAAAACACCACTAATAACTTTTTTCTTTCTTTCGGGAAGGCGTGATCTTGTGTCTTTCGTTCATGGTTAAAACCTGTAAAACTGTCAAAAGGCAAAAGAAGCCAGAAAACTGAGTACGGGAACGTTTTCTGGTAAATTCCTGTAAATTCTTGCAAATTCTTGCGAGTTAGGGAACGCAACTAATGAAGGCGAATTTATACAAAGGGTAGCAAGAATACAACCAAGGTGAATTTATATAAGGTGGTGTTGGTCCCCTTTCAGACACGTCAAGTCTTGAGAGCATTCTCTTTTGTGTTTTCTATTTGCTTCCACACGCGTCAACTTCAATTGAATTCAAGTCCTTGGTTCTTTAAATGGGAAGCAACGAAAAGATCAAAAGAGACAAGAAAACTTGAAACGAATTGACGGTACGGAGGTATCTGTACTCTTCCCCTCTCTTCTCACCTCCTTCGCCAACGAACGAGCAGACTTGAAAGCAAGACTTGACGCAGGGCGAATTAATATAAGGTGATAGGAGTACAAAAACAAAAATTTACATGTATTTTGTTTTTGCTTTGGCGGCATAAACTGTCAAAATCTGTAAGAGTATGTGTAGAAATTCAAACAAAATTTTTCAATTTGATATCGGAAGCCGTGCGGCGAAACACATACACAAAATCAGCTGAGCTAGTAACACCACCTTATATAAATTCGCCTTGACTTGACGTGTCTGAAAGGGGACTTGATGGCGAATTAAATTTTCGCCGCGGTACTACTGAATGTCAAAATGATGTGTTTGTTGTAAACAAGACGAATTCATTTTACAACAAACATCATTTTGACATTAACAGGCCAACCTAATATTCACGCACACCGGCAGTTTACTGTCAAAAATTTCTCATGCATATACATCTTGTATGGGACCAACCGAAATTGACCGGCGTGCGTAAAAAGCTAGCTCAAATTCCAAGATTTGTGTTGCGTGACATTTCGATTTGACGTCTGTGCTCTATGACATTTTGGCGCGACAATGAATTAAGATTTTGGAAAAAATGCAGAATAGCTTCGATTCTCAAATTAAAAAAACACATATGGGGATCGATAGAGATCATTGAGGTGAGTATAACGGTATATTTCTTTTTTAAATTTGGGAATCGAAGCTATTCTGCATTTATGCTCAAATTTTGCTCAACTTCTGAAATTGGACAGAAATGCAACTCTGAAAAATCACGCACGTAAATTTATTTCGGTTACTCAAATGTGAAGAACTTGCGTGCGTGCGTAGAAAAATTCACGCCGGTAATATTAGGTTGGCCCGTTAGACGTACCTCGGCGAAAATCTAAATTCGCCATCAACACCACCTTGTATAAATTCGCCTTGATCGTGCGTATGAAATTTTTGAGTCCTCGCCGCAAAAGTGAAAACAAAATACACGTATATTTTGTTATTGGCGTGCCGATACCACCTTATTGAATACTCCTTGGAATTAACAAAAACTATACCGCAACGTTAGATAGAAACTTTATTTTTGATGCAAATTAAATTTTTTACTCAGAATAAGTCCATCAAGCATATGGACACTTAAAGAAGTCATTTTCTGTTCTTGTTAGTGGTGGTCTGGTAATACTAAAGCGAATTAACAAAAACTACCGCAACGTTAGAAACTTTATTTTTGATGCAAATAAAATTTTTTTCAGAATAAATCCATCAAGCATGTGGACACTTAAAGAAGTCATTTTCTGTTCTTGTTAGTGGTGGAGGGATGCGATAGATGCGAATTCGGGGCGCGTTGAACAGGTTTTACACCATTAGGTTGGGCATTCTTATACCTTGGTCGAATTTGGCTTCTAAGGTTTTGATTTTGTGCTCCAGAACCTATACGCCCTTTATTGATTTCCATGCGATTTCGCGCTTTAATATGTGCATCATCCTTTACCATGTCAATAACTTCATCGGGAATTCGTAAATATTTGATCGTACTTCCTCGCACATAGCATTCAGGCATACGCCAAAACCTGTCTCCATCCTTTGATGTACAAATAACATCGCGAAGATTTATGTTCATCCATGAATCACAGCTCACCAAGTGTCCATTATAGGTTTCTCCATTTTTCAATTCAACCAGCATTGGATGGCTCTGAGCGGTCTTAAGTAAAGTTAAGGGTAGCATTAAACTTGTATTTCTCTACTTTTTAATATGTGTATCCCGTTTATTATTTTCAATTGACTAGACATGTTGGAAACTAGAGGTGGCAAATTATCGATGGCACTATCGATAGTATGGTTGGGACATCACTATCGCAACTATCGATGGCGACCACTATCGGCCATATTGAAATTCGATACTATCGAGGAATTGCAATATATATGTATGATTTGGGAAACTTTCCATTATGGCCGTTCGTTAATGGTGCGGTGGGCGAAGGGGAAGTGGGCGTGGCACCTCCATCCGACCTTTTTGGAGAGGGCATGAACCGCCATTGACAAAAATGTAACCCACGACCACCTAGGCCCTTATGGTTCCCTACGGACCCCTTACAAAAATAGCCAAAAATCGCAATTTTTACTTGCGTCCACAGTATTTTTGCATAGAATACCTTTCTGCGTAGGGGGCCTTCGGCCGCGCTTAGGTGTTATAACCCTTACTACGTAGAATTCTCCTTTCTGTGTGACCTAACTGGCGATGAGGGAACGAGAATTCCCTTTCTGTGTGATAAACCTGGGGCTGCCGCCCCAGTGATGCCAATTTTGGTTACTGGGTGTTTTATAAAAATGTCTTATTACTAATATACTGATATAGTTGCAGCAATATTATATACAAAGCCGCTACAACAACAACAACAACAAATCAAGGCATAAAAAATAACGATGATACTTTGTTTTAGCCGCAAGAACAAATGTAGGTGGCCTTCGGCCGCGCTTAGGGGTTATAACCCTTACTACGTAGAATTCTCCTTTCTGTGTGACCTAACTGGGGATGAGGGAACGAGAATTCCCTTTCTGTGTGATAAACCTGGGGCTGCCGCACCAGTGATGCCAATTTTGATTACTGGGTGTTTTATAAAAATGTCTTATTACTAATATACTGATATAGTTGCAGCAATATTATATACAAAGCCGCTACAACAACAACAACAACAAATCAAGGCATAAAAAATAACGATGATACTTTGTTTTAGCCGCAAGAACAAATGTAGGTGGCCTTCGGCCGCGCTTAGGGGTTATAACCCTTACTACGTAGAATTCTCCTTTCTGTGTGACCTAACTGGGGATGAGGGAACGAGAATTCCCTTTCTGTGTGATAAACCTGGGGCTGCCGCACCAGTGATGCCAATTTTGATTACTGGGTGTTTTATAAAAATGTCTTATTACTAATATACTGATATAGTTGCAGCAATATTATATACAAAGCCGCTACAACAACAACAACAACAAAGCAAAGCATAAAAAATAACGATGATACTTTGTTTTAGCCGCAAGAACAAATGTACCAATTGAATTAGAGAATGTAATTAATTGTTATGCTAAGTACTTGTAAGTACTCATATCTTGTAATACTCATATCTGTAATAAGAAAATTTTTAGTAATTTGTTCGGATTTTGTAGATTTTTGACTTGTTTTTGAGGAATTTGGTATTTTTTTTGTGGCAACACTGCGCTGGTGCATAGTCGAAAATTGGTAAAGGTGAAATTAGTCAAGAACGCAGAGCTTATACCTAAACGCTGTCTGTATACGCAGAATTTTGTCAATTACTGGAGCCCACAGTGAATACGCAGAAACCAACTGTTTTCTTCAGTGTTGTGTACTACAGTGTTGCCACTCACAATGCCTTTTCGTAAACTTACCTTTTCAAATACAATTTTTTGTGCTATAATAGATCGTAGCTAAATATAAAGTACTTATTTTTCAAGAAAAAACCTTATTCGATAGTAAATTTCAAATATTTTAAACGTATTTTTAATAGGAACTCATATTTTTTCACCATTTACAAAACTAACGAACTGGTAACCATCTATAGAAAGGAGAAACCAGCTGACACGGAAAAATCTAAATTCCGCAGATTTCTGCGCTACGGGCTACAACTACAGAAAAATTCTGCGTTGTTCAGTTTGCATTTACATGGCGTTCTGGTAAGAGATAGATCGTGTCAGCTGACTCGAATTTCTGTACCAGTGCGTTTACGTTCTTGACTAATTTCAGCTTAAGAAATGTAATCGGAAAAACTTTGTCCCCTTTGTCCCCTTTCAGACACGTCAAGTCTTGCTTTGAAGTCTGCTCGTTCGTTGGCGAAGGAGGTGAGAACAGAGGGGAAGAGTACAGATACCTCCGTACCGTCAATTCGTTTCAAGTTTTCTTGTCCCTTTTGATCTTTTCGTTGCTTCCCATTTAACATTTGACATTTGGAATTTGACACTGAAGGCGAAAGACACAAGATCACGAAAACGAACGAAAGGCACAAGATCACGCGGGAAGGAAAGAAAGAAAAAAGTTATTTTCTAGCTGCCGAAATCTCGACGCCATCTTTGTTGTAAGAAGTAAACAACGAAGAGAACGGAGAAAACCGCGAAATTGTTGAACGCATGAATAATCATTTTTATTATGCAAATTCTTCTGTAAATCATGCCGTTGTGTTGAATTATTCTTTACCTTATGTGTACACACGGTGTCACAGGCGAAAATGAAGAAAATTGCGGTAAAAAGCCACCACCAAATTGTAAACAACGAAGAAATGTAAACAAACGGCTAATGTCAAAGTCGTTAAACTTTTTTCCTATATGCGATTCTAACGCAAGAATGATAGAATACAAGATTGCGCCGATCAGAGAGGATTCTTGAGAATAACTTTTGTGTGACGTCATACTGGTGCAATTGCGAGAGAGAAATGCCAAAACGTGAGCAAGAATGGAAGAAGAAGAAAAAATGTTGCAAGGAAACCGTAAACAAGTTGCACAAGTGTGACGTCATGAAAACAACGATTATGTCAAATTCGTTAAGAGAGGAATAGCGGTCCGAGATCGGCGCAACCTTTGTATTCTCTCAATCGTGATTCTAACGGGCTACTCTCCTGCCCGGGTGATCTTGTATTTTAGGTTCATGACTTTGTATGGTATGTAGTCAGTAGAGATGGCAAAAAAGAATAATAATCGATTAATTGGTTAATTGATTAATCGAAAGCATTCGATTAATAATTGCAATTAAGCGTAAGAAATTAACCGAGTAATCAGTCATTTCGGTTGAAATCAAAAATTAGTAATAAAACATTTATAAGTAATAAAAACTAATTTACGTGTCAAAATTATAACGTACAAGATTTTTTTTTATTTAACATTAGTTATATTTTTAAATATAGCTTATTCTTTAGCAAAAAACGTATAAATATAAATATATCAAATTTTGTGCAATACTAAAAAAAATCATCAAAAAATTTCAGCTTTTTAATTAGATTTCTTAGAAAGATTTTCAGTATGCAGTTTTGTAGCCCATTAAATTTTTTTATAAAAAATTCCAACACTGAAGTATCTACAACTTATGGCTGTTTTTTGGCACTTTGTTGTTTGGTAATGGTATTGCTTATTTTCTTCCATATAAAAAAAAAGAAAATGCGCACCATTGAATTCGGAAAATAAAATGAAAATATGTGCATACCTGCGTTGTGATTTTTAGTAGCTACTTAGGTTAAGCTTGTGTTTCGCTTTTTGGCAAAATTATCGTTTAAACAATTTGCAGAATACGAGAATGTAAAAAACATCCCAGCTTATTTTGTTTTGTACATTGTGTGAGTAAAGTAGTAAATTTTTGATGGTTTCTTTTCGATTATTTTAAAAATTAATCGGTTAATCGCTCGATTAATCAAAAGGAAAATTTCGATACAATTAAATTGTTAACCGAATGGCCCCTGTCACACGGTCAGTATTAATTGACGCGATCCAAGTATCGCGATATTTATTGACGGTGTAGCAAGCAGGATTGATGGATCGTGATCCATATACTCACGCGATAAATATTGAACATGTAGCATTCGTGCGCGATCCATCAATCCATCAATATGGATCGCGATCCAAACATCGTGATAATTACTGATCGTGTGACAGAGCCCAATGGAACAAACCGATTATAATCGGTTATTCGATCAATCGTGCCATTACTAGTAGTCAGCAGTACTCAGGCAATTTGAGGAATATATATATATATATATATATATATATAGGAATTGTTGAAATACCTTGTGCTGTCATTATATATACTTGTATCGAATAAGTGCCTCTTGTGTTTATAATAATTGCAAATTAATTAAGCAAACGTTGTCGTGCCAGCATCCAAGTTGTCACATATTTTTGCATTGCCAGTAAAGCCAATAGTGCAACAGAGCTATTTTTAAGTGGTTAGAGGGCAGATGCTTACACAAAAAGTTCTTTGTTTTTTCTAAAAAGTTAAGTTTTTAATATTCCTTAACAATCCTCTTTTTTGTTCTTCAGTATACAGGTACAAAGTTCAATTTCTGTACTTCCGTTTTGCAAAGTAAAAATAGTGCAATTCTATTAAAATACACATATGTATGTATGTATATTTATGTTCATACCCTACAAGAGCAGCTGAGTACCATATGAGTGCTCATGTTATCATTATCACTAATTACAAAAGTGCTTATCAAAGTATTAATTTTTGTTCAGACCATGGGAAAAAATTAAGTACTTTCCCCTCAATGTTGTCATCAGAAAGTTCTCAGTACTAATAGTCAAACTACTCATTTATGCCATACTACAAAAACAAAAGATAAAATGTGTTAGAATTTTTGCCTAAAATGCTCAGCAATGTCTTGTAGGGTACATATATGCATATGGTTATGGTCGTTGTGTGAAGCGCAAAATAAATACTATCCCCGGGTGAATTTCCCCCTCCTAAATGTTTTCCCGCTTATTCCAGCTATAACTCTGTTAAAAGCCCAACTTTGCACTTGAGAGAATAAAATTAAACAAAAATTGCGTAATTTCTCATGTGGAATTAAACGGAGGATACCGGATGTATAAAATTTGCGTTATTCCAATTGCAGTTTTCGTACATTCTGTGTTCGCGTACATTATGGCTTCTTCGATGTATTACGCTTCAAGTACTGGCCGCATTTTACGTTTTCTGACGACAAATATTAACTATTTGCAATATTACAAAGTGAACCAATCAATACTCGTCAAGACCGTATTTGCCCTGTCAACAAGATATTCTAGTTCAACAGCAGTAGTACCAGTGCTTCCCGTAAGCGGCATTTCCGGTAATGGTAAGATTTTTAAAAATTTCATTCACACATGATTCAATAATAGGTGTATTCACGTATTCTTCCAGCAGAAAACTCTCAGAAGCAAAATTCTAATGAATTTTTATCTGATCAATCTCAAAGAGAGAAAGGCTAGCAAAAGTACGCGAACCAGGGAAGCTAACTCGTGGAGAATTCCCCGCTTTGCGTGGAATTTCAGTTTGCGTGGGAATCGGGGAATGTACCCTTTTTGTGGGGAATTTCAGTTCGCTCGATTCTAGTACAAAATAGTTTCAAATGGCTAAAAATTGCTGTTGATTTTTTTGGAAATTTCTTTGTCGCATTTGCTCTCATATAACGAACGAACGCAATTTATTTATTTATGGAAGAAAACTACAACAACTTCTGCAAAAGAATTCTAAAACGAATTTTTTTACCCACTTGAAACTTGCACTAGAATTGAGTGAGTTACAAAACTGCATAGCTACTATAAATCTTACTAGAAAATCTAATTAAAATGTCGAACTTTTTAAGATTTTTGGTTTTTGTTTTAAATATTGCACAAAGTTTGAAACTTGGATTTAAACATAAATCCCAAAAAATTGTTGTGAAAACTTGGCAAAATTTGGTGCGACTAAAATTTGTTCGACCACTGTAGGTATGTAAATATTATATAAACATTTTTTATTCTGTATTTGTAAACTAACTTTATAAAAGTTTGTTTTGGTTTATGAATACATAATAATAAAATAAACAGAAAGATCAGCGATATATAAAAATAGATACAATTTATTTTTGCAAAGAGATATCTGAATGATAACTGGAGTGGGGAATTTTACGAAATTTCGGGCAAAATCGGAAAATTTCATAGTCGAAATCGGGGAATTTTCAAAAATGAGTTGGGTACCCTGACGCGAACGCAAAACCAGCAAAAACTTGCAAGTTTTTAGTAGAACTGATCTCAGTTTCGTTTACATACAAAAAAATAAAACAGAAAAAATAATATGAATTAAAAGTTTTCCTAAAGCAATTTGCTAATCAAACATGGGTAAATGAGTATTTGCTTTCTTCCGATACATTTGCAGTCCTTATAAGTTATTTTAAACTTAAAAATCATAATAATAAATCTACATCTAAATCCAAAATGAATTTCCATATTTTCATAAATTGAAAATAAATGGTTTTTTTTGGGTTGGCTTTCCAAAACGGAGCCAAACGAGATTTCAGCGAAAGTATATGGAATTGTGTCATGAAACTTGGTCAGGATGTTGGGGGAGGCTTTCTCTACATGAATATATCACTCTCACAAAGTAGTTGCTAATAGTATTTAAGCAATTTGTTGTTAAATAATCTTCACTACCACCCCCAAATTTTTGTACAAAATGCCACTTATCAATTGTATTTTGGTTGATATACAATATCTTCAATGTTCACGTGCGTATTTTATACTTTTAATATATATATATATATATATATAT